GAGAAAAACAGAGTTTTGCACTAAGCTTAATCTAAAATACTCTATTATTCTTAAATTTTTGCTGAATTTAAATAGAATATATTTATGAAACACCCCCCCCACACACACACACACACTTCATGGAAAATGACAGTTTGTTTCAGAAATGTAGGACTCAGAAAAGTGAAACTTGATTTAACAATATTGATCTAAAATGTATTTTAAATTCTCAACAGAAAAATTTCTAGTAAAATTTTAAATTTCATTTTTTATACAAATTTAAAAATTTTATTTGAAGAAGCAATTTTGAAGCTAATTGTGTTTAATTCTAGGAACAGACGTTGATTTAATTTTGAGAGAAGAAATTTGGTAACAAAAGGACATTTGTGTTGGGTTACTCTTTCTTAATTAAAATGGTGGGAACGTAGAGAATAACATATTGTACTTATGTGGAAATATTAATGCATTTCCATTCTATCAATGTACAAGTACTACAAGAGAAAAAGAAACATTAAGTATTTGGAGCTGAACTAGTTAAGATGTGACAATAATAAATACAACTGACTATGCAGTACAACTTTTTCTAGCTGGGTTATTTAAAACCCTGTGACCTAGTTAGAACTGCTTGAAGAAATAAAATGAGCAAAAAGAAAAAGATCAGCAGCAGCAGCAATGTTAGCAACAAGCTAAAATTGGAAAGAATTTTCATTACCCTATTTAAAAAAAAAATACCTGCTTCCTCCCAGCCCAAACATAAATCCCCCAAGTGATAATAAAGCATCTGCTGCAGTGGCACAGGCTTTTCCTTTTCTCTCACAACTGTGCTATACCAACCTGACCTGGTTTTTTGAGAAAAGAAATAAACCTAGCCACAGCATTCTTTTAAGAAAAATATGACACCTTATCAAAATGAACCGACAGTAGTTTTCTGATCTCAGTCCTGTTAAAAGATTGTGGTAAGTGAGGTGGTATTACAGCTTAGGAAATGCAAAGGCTACTATTAATAGTATTGGCATGTAAGATCCCTACTTCAATTATTGCTGTATTTTGATTTGTAGGCCAAATGAATGGCCAATTTTGCTGCTTACAGTGCTCCATCAGGCTTGGCTGCTACCTTCTTATCAAGCTTTGCACTGAAAACAGATGATATGGTTCTGCAGACAAGCCATGGGCTGCTTACTACACCAACAGAAATCATAGTTTGTGAAGCCACTGTTGTACTTGGTTTTGCTTTTGGCACTATGATTTTCAGAGGGGATTTATTTCTATGATTATAAATACACACAAACTAAAAGTTGGTTCCAATGTAGGATTGTCCTTTTCTGATTGAAGGAAAATTAAGACTAAAGTTTGTCTGAACACCTAAGACAGTCAACATTTGATTCAGACAAATAAAAATCATCACTAAAATCTTAGAATGCTGGAGGGAATTTGATAAGAATGAAGAAATTCCTTTCTAACACTTAGGAACATTTTAAGAACAAGTTATTTAACTCAAAGATATTGTGAAACCAGTAAAGTCTATTCAAGTGATGATGTGAAGAATGTAGCAACCACGTCGAATGGAATTGACTGGTTTCAGTACAGGATGATGCTCAGAGACCATAACTCTGACCTGCTGTGGGGAAAAATGTTGGTCTGAGGAGGAGGAGAGTGGAATACAGCAGCAGAAATTGTATTAAGGAACAAATACAATCCAAGATCTTTTTGCTAATTTCTGTAAAAACTGGTTAATGTCTTCAGTAAAAAGTCTAAGCAAGTGATTAAACAAATTAAGAATTCTGCTACTGTATTTTAAAAAATCCAACTAACCCAAACAGTTTTTAACTTTTAATTTGAAATGTTTCTCAGGGTTCCTCTGTTTTCAAGCACCAAACTAAACAAAGATTGACAATCAGAAGATCAGCATGAAATAGTTTTTTCTCTATAGTTTTTTTTAATGCAAACCAGACCCACAGAATTATAGTTATGCCACAATTTTGCATGTTTTAATACAAAAATGAATCATGATATGGTTGAATTTGAAACTTGAAGAGTTCACTTGAGAAAGACTGAGCTCCTGATAAGTACATTTAAAGCCTAATACTGTTCTGGGCTTCTGATAAATAGAATTATAACCTAATCCTCTGAAGTATTTTACAGGCTTCCTTTCATAGGTTTCAGAATGTTTTTCTAACAACAATAAAGAAATCTTAAAACACACTTGTCTACAGAAAAGGTTAATAAATTGACTTCCTCAAGGTCAGAGAGCAAACCTGTAGAGTGGGAACAAAAGAAGCCAGTCAGTTCACCTCTCACCAGATGGGTCTGCTCATCAGGCTGTATCCATGGCACTGGCCCGGGGTGGTTAAAAGCACTGTACAAAGGTGGTCAACTTCTGGTGCCAGAGGTAGAAAGAACTTCCAAAATTAGCTGAGACAATAAAATGTTCCAGTTGTGAACTTTGCAAGTGTCCTTAATGATTCTGAGGTTGTGATTAATATTCTTACACAAAATGTTCTGTCAACAACTACACTACGCTCTGGCACTTGCTCATTCTTGTTATCCATTCTGCTACCTATGTACAAAGACATTTTACAGGAAGATGAATATTTTTCTGAGCAATAAAGCCTCTAGGTGTGAGGCCAGCAAGTTAGGGCAGTGTGTTCAGATCCATTATCCACAGTATCCTGAGATGTGCAAGAACTTACCAGTCCTTATATATGGATCTAGAACAAATTCAAACTCAAAGGCAACCATGGTTGAGAAGAAAACTAACATACTAGTATGGATGAAGTAGAATCAAAGAAAACTCTTAGTCAAAGAAGGGCAAACAAGAAGGGACAATAGCTAATGTATGCTGCACAGCATCAGAGAACGCGGATATTCACAGAAACTAACCTAAACCTTCCTGAGGCTAATGAGCAAGGCATGTTTTGTACTTAAAGGATTTCTCTCCGGGGTGATTTCTAGCAGAAATTAAGTTTAGCCATCATTATGAAGGCAACTGAGGCAACTTAGTTAGCCTTTGCAACAGTCTTGTCCTTCACTGTATCTCTGCTACAGAATTTTATGCCACGGGGTTTTATTAACTCGGGTTTTTTTGAGTAATGTTTACATATTTCCACAAAACTCTCCTTATTTCATCCCACTGAAATTTTACAGGAAAAAACAAGTATGAGAAAAAATGTTCTCATAAGAGCTGTGTGTGTGCCTTGTTCCCAGAAGAATGAACTCAGCTGCAGGAGCCCAAGTGGAGCATCAGTAGCATTTTGCCACACCAACTTTCAAAATTAGGGCTTTAGAAATTTTAATAGAACAGTTTAACTGGAAATAATTAATTTTATGAGTGCCTAAGAATTAGGCAATAAGATATCATTTTACCCTAAACTGGCAGGGAAGTGTGCAGTAAAACTCAGCTCGGTTTTCCTCCCCAGGTGATCTAAAAGCCTTTACAGTATCTAGATCTTGAGTTGACAGGAGGGCTGTTCGTTCAAACAGGTTCAGAATTTCACCTTCTTATTTTGGGCTTGACATTTGGAAGCATGTTGGTTTAGACTTTTACATTTCTTCCTATCTGTCCATGGTGAGGTAATACTAAAAGTTTGAAACTATTCTTTTGAGAAATAAAACTCAGGTATGGAAAATAAAGGAAGAAAGCTGGGATTGTTGGTATAGAGCCCACAGAACACGTCTTAGCAAGTCAACCAAAAATACATGTTTTGTAAATTATGATTGCCTGCAAATAACCTCAATACACCGTAGGCCTCAGCTGATCAGAAGCTTTTTCAAGCAGCTCTTGATTTCATTATCCTCTAATCCTACAAGTTGGTTAGTAAGTCATCGAAAGTTTCTACCAATTAAACACCTTTGAATCAAAGTGACTTTCCTAATAGTGTAATGAAATTACATGGGAAGACCATCAGCAACCTGTTATAATGTTAATATATTAAATCCACTACAGTCTGTTCAGTTGCTCAAGAAATGCCAACTTGTTACATGAATAAGAAGAAAAATATGAACAAAAATAAAACAAAGGCATCTGAAACTTGCTTTCTAAATGTAAGAGATTTTGTGCCCAGCTCCAGATATACAATCATCCTGTTTTTGAAAACAGGGATGGTTAAAGAAATATATTTTTAAGCATTTTTATTATTGAAGTGAAAATTACATTTGATAGTTTTCTCCAAGTTTAATTTTAAATCTCGTTATCAAAAAGACTGCCATTATGAAATCATGTAGCAGTACAGTTAATATACATAGACTGTAATTTAAGGACTATTGCCACTGTTACCCATAATTTTTTAATTCTCTAATAGAGACACATATTTCTAGCACCATTGCAGTAAACAGTGATATAGCCTTTCAATATTACTCTTTCCCTTCAAATTCCAAACATAATTTTGATCATAAAAATATGATAGCTGAAAGCTAAAGTATCTGATGGGGGGAGAACTGGGAGATGATACTTCTTGTTTCCAGCAATATTTTGACTTGTAAAAAAATCAGTTTGGAAACTGGTTTTACTTCCAAAGAAAAAAACCACAAAAAACAAGAACAATCCACATTCGGTGTTAATATTAGTTACGCTAGAAAGAAGTGACTTAACTTGATAGATATCTAGAAATTTTTCTTGCAAAAGCAAATAGCTATGAAAGCTTGAAAGGAGATAAAAATGGGGTTTAAAATGTCACAGGAGACAGCATACACATTGTTGACTTGTTCTTTGGAGTAAACAAAATTCATCCTCATCCCATTACAAAGCAAACCTCAAATAATCTTTCTGTAAATTAGTGAGTGAGCCAATTAATACAACGTAAAGAATTGCATCCAAAGGAAAGGCATGGTATTTCTTTTGGTACACACACACAAAAAAATATTGTTATATGTGTAGGATTCTACATCTAATTTAATTAGCAGTTTTGTGCATGAGAAAAAAGTTCCTGCTTACTTGCTCAAAATATTAAATTAGGTACCTTGTATACTACCACGTTCAAAGATTATCAGATAAAGTAATAACAGAAAAGAGTCTCAATACTCACATTTTGTTTTAAGCTGCTTCTCTTGGTAACTTGTGCAGCAAAATAAAGGAAGAAATAATTACACGCCTTCACAGAAACAAGCATTCATCAAGTCCAAAAGAAACAGAACACTTTGCCAGAGCTATTTGAGGGTCCCATCAGAATTTGGCTGGATGGGGGAAGGCTGAGGGTCAGTTTGTTTCCCTTAGACCTCATGACATGCAAATAGCTGGCTGCTTTGCCACTGAATCAAATCATTCTTTGACATACTGTGTTTACAAATTGCAAATACATACCATGTAGGAGGTTCTTAAAGGAGCATATTTCTGAGAGTTGTCAAAAGAAAAAATGCATTTCTGTTAAAATACCTAAGGAATCAAAACCCCTAGCCCCCAAACTATTCAGTGAAAAGAAAAAAAGAAGGAACATTATTCATCCCCAAATACACTTTGCTTCACGCATAATGAATCCAAAAAGTCTCATGTGGGTTCGTAAATCAGAAAAGTCCCAATTACTAAAGTCTGATTGTTGTGTACAGGAAATGAGGGCCAAGTAGAAGCCTCCTTTAGTTTCAGAGAAGACATTCAGGGACACAGCAGAACTTCTCTGAGACTATTAAAGCAGTTTCTGGGCTGGATCAATTTGCTGAGGTGCTCATACAGCGATACCACCAGAGTGGCAGCAATGGCCTCCTTTAGGCTCTCTCTCAGTTCTGGCCTTTGAATTGCAGTCACCTCCTTTACTTTGTGCTCGGACAGAGCAGGGGCCAGCTAACTTTCACAGACAGGCTCCCACATGCACAGAGCACACAGAGGTCCTTACACTTGGCATAACACTCCATGCAGACCTTTAATCAAACACAGCTGAAAATAAGGATACATGTGCCCATTTAAAAATGCCAGCTGAAGTTAAGCAGAGCAAAAAAAGGATGGCTGCTTGTGGTATGAACCACGACTGACCTCCAGGCAGATTTTTCCACAACCAAGAGCCAATAGATCTGAATCACTTAGTCTATAACGTCAAGTGGGTGGGAGCTGCTTTATATCACAGATAGACAAAAGAAGGAAATGTTTAAATGTTGAAATATGTATTACGTTATCTGAGTACTTCAGTAAAATTGCCAAATCTGGACATGTTCTGGAGGTTATCTGTGTCTAGGTAGTGTCTTGCAGTTAAGACTGATCCTCTGAATATTTTTGCCAAGAATTGATGATCTCTGCTTGTGTATGACTGTCTAGTTAAACCTCTGCAGACACTTATTTTATCATTACTTAAACTAGATTGAACTCTTTTCTCCTATTTTTATATGTGCTGTAAGCTTTATTTATACCAAGCATCTTTTATTTCAAGCCTGTGATTTTTGCAGATTGATGACAGGACAAGTTAGGTGTGAATTTGAGTCCAGAATGAGAATCAAGAATAGTTTTCTCTTGCCTTTGCTTCCAGAAAAAGAAAACTGAAAGTACAATTCTTAATCAAGTACCTTTTCTAGTTCATAAAGCAGATCAAGACAAAAGTACTATCCCAGACAGATCTCTTGAAAGAGCTAATGACACTTGTAACACAATATATTCTTTCCATAAAGGATGAGAACTTCAGACACCTCCTCCAGCACATCACTTTCCTCATGCTTCAAAGACTACCCTCAAATTTGGCTAACAGTAGACAGAGATAATAACTGCATTAACAGAAGACAGGCCAAGAGAATCATTTAAAACACAATCAGAGTTTTTGCCAACAGTGCAAATTAAGCATAACTGTGGAAGCCAACAAAAGTCTGCTGTTTCTTCAGAGTATCAGTTAGATGTTTCCCGCAGCTCTCGCATCTCTTCCGGAACTTCCTGAAATAGAAAGCAGTTTATTTTGTCTGTTTTCTGACACGACCCATCTTGACCCACGTTCCTCTTCATGTTAAGGATTTGGGAAATTCATCAAACAAATGGTGGTTCTCTTTAAACTACTGAAGTTACTCTTCCCAATTTAGAATATTAACTATTTAAAAAGAAAAATGCAAATAGATGGCATTCCTTAACAACTCCTAAAGAAAATAATAAAAAAAATAATGAACTTGTTTTCCCGAGAAAATATCTTTGGTATTTACCAAATATGTTCTGTTATTTGGGCTAGTAGAGAATGGACTCTGGTCTCAAAGTACCTATAAAGTACAATTGTTTTCCAAAAAGTTTGAGTGCTTTTTGAGCCTCCAAATCCATGCTACACAAAGGAAAAATCATTACATGCCTCATTCTTATATTCCTCCCCAAGCGTCCACTTTGGGCCTTCTGCTGGAGATACAATACTGGGTTACACTGACTTTCAATATGACCCCCTACAGTCACTCTAGTGTCATCTGCAGGAGTACTAGACTTCCTATTAAATGAGAAAACCCATATCTACCCAGTTTTGTAGAAATTTCCATTTTCTTGGCCTACTGTTACTTAATACAAAAAAAAGTTCAAGGAGCAACCACTTCTTGAGTAGCCTTATGACCCTACACAGAGAACAGAACTACTGCAGTTTTATCTGAACAAGCTGCAAGATGGGTTCGTGCTGACAACAAAACTCAGTGACATTATTTAGAAACTTGTGCCAAGTTTTTTTTAGGAAGCTGTGAAACAAGCGAGTTGGAGAGAAGGCTGAAAGTTCTAACAGAGCAACAATGTGCTTATTTCCAGCAGACCTGCAAGTAATCAACTATAAAAGCCCCATTTTGCCACTTAAAAAGAAGGGAAGGCGAGGCTGTTGCTGAGAAAGGTGTTACTCTACCTGTGGCTAATGCACCCATTCCAATCTGCTGAGAGTAGCAGCATACAAGGCTGTGAGATGAATGTTTGTAAGAAGTCGTGTATAAATACACACGTGCATCTTATACACATTGGTTTATGAGTCTAAAAATATAATGGGGATGTTTAAATACCATAGGTGAAGAGCATGAGAGGCTGACACTAAATACTTGAAACCAAAGAAGTGTTAATTTGTATACTTTGTAGTGCCTTTCATTTCCCAGATATTCCAAAGGGCAGTTTTGTTTTGTGAATTGCACCTCTGATTAATAAGACAATATTAGTCTTGCTCCTGCATACATTTCTCCTACAGAGAAAAAACCCCCATGAATTAGCAAAATATTCAGGACTTTGTGAACATTCCTTTTCTTTCTCTTTCAAAATACTTTTATATCATAAACTAAAGACTGAATTTCCAAATTTAAGAGACAACAAAAATACCTGTGAAAGTTTTCCAACCTATGTCTCCTTGAATTCTGTTAGTAGCCAGAAGAAATTCTCTAAATTTTAGTGCTTCCCTTGTATCTACTTCAAAGAATCTATTTTTTTTCTTAATTCTTATAGCCTTGGCTACAATATAGCAAGTCAAACTTACGATAAAGTAAATTCTGTAGTAAGTTCATTATTATTTCGCCATAAAAATATCAAACAGAAACAGAGGGACACTCAGAATGGGGTGTTAAATCAATTGGTGCATATTACCAATTGCTGTCTGAAAGCCGCAAGTTGCAAGATGATCAACCATTGCTGAAGTCAACAGAATGCTCTTTAAATACTTCATCATTTAATGTTATTAAAATAATTTCATATTTGGATACAGAATTTCATATGGCATATTATTTAAAAAATATTTCAATGAAATATAAAATTGTTTACATTCATTATAGGAACTTAATAATTATTCTGGCTAAACAACAAGAAATCAAACCTATTCCCTGTATGCAAACTATTTCTTAAACGAAGTTAAACAACCTGAATATTTTTCATCTTATACTCCTCCTTGTCTTTTACTGTCAGCTAAGATAACCCCCAGCCAAAGAAAGAGGAAAAACTACCTTTACTTCTGCCTTACAACTGGCAACCTGTTTTGCCTTGCAGTTGGTAAAAGATCAACATTGACATGAACATTGTTAAACATTAACACCTTTTAAATATGTATAAAATTTTGTTGTTTACCTTACCAAAATAACCTTAACCTTGGTTACTCTGTTACTGAGCTTTCACACTTGGCCTCTTCAATTGCCATTTGTTGCAATTTCAGGCTTGGGTACATTTATGATTAAGCTCACAGAACACATGAATTGTTGGAAAACAGAAATATTTGAACAGAGTAGGGCTTGCACAGAATTTGCTCTCAGCATCAACTTTGGCAAGAATGGATGAATGACATTTTTAGTGAAAAGAACTCTTTCTTATTATTCAAGCTTGATTTTATGCAACTCCCTGTAATTACACACATGAAATCAATGGGCATTACTGAAGTCATACAACTTAAGTATTTCCCATTTGAAAATTATCTTCTCTTACAAATAAGGTAGAAGTATATTTGCCATAGAAGAATTATGTCATTAATAGTGGCAGAACTCTATTCTACACATTTTCGCACTTCCTGAAGATATAAAGTACTGCTAATGTAAAATTAAGGCTGGTAAAAAACTTGAGGGAAACACTGTAGCCAATCTTTCAGTCTGTGAAGTTTACGTAGAAAGATCATAAACTAAATTCTTTTCAAGAAATTTGGGATAAACAGAACAAGTTCTCTCAGGAGCTGGAAAATGCAAACAAATGCTTCTAACTGCTATGGGAACTGGATAAGCACTCAACAAGCCTTCCAAATGAACATCTAGCATGTTCAGTACGGCAGGTGTAACAGTATTTATCTGCTCCCAAAATACCAATGCAAAATCACCTCCTCTGTCTGAATCACAAGTTTTAAATGAACATCTATTTTGGACATTAGCAGAATACATTAATAGCATAAGTGTACTGATTTTCCTAAGTTTTCAGTACATTTAGAAACTCACATTAGTACTGGTTCACTTTCTTTTAAGTTTACCAATAAACACTTGCACACAAATGTTTTTAATGCTGCGGTCCAGTGAACAGAAGCCGAAAACACCCACTAATGTATGAGAGTAAAGGTGGCCTTCATTGGTATAGTACTAGGTATCAGTATATGTTTAAAAACTAGTGTTTGAAATTAAGATAGACAGGCCTTATCTCACTATAAATCCAAATCAGAGAAGTGAAACTATTAGCCTGTGTGTGTGTATGGAACAAAACACACTGTTATTTGAAGAATAAACATCTCTTGAGGCCTCACGTGAAGATACCAACTAGAACCCACTAATTTAATACCCAACGTGTCCACAACTGTGCTCTGCCACATCTACATTTAATGTGTGTTAAATGTACACTGTAGTAGCGTATAATAAAACTGTTTGC